AAAAAAAATACTACTATCAGAATTTTTAACCAAGATGTCCAACGCGACAGCATCGTCATCGATATCTTTGCTAGAGTCCTGTAACCCTCACTATCCAACAGAAGTTACTCTCGGATGATGAAGAGTTACAATCATTTGTGATTCTAAATATTTTACCTTTGGCCCTGAGTCAGCTAATCGTATAATAGCATTTAAATTTTGTGTTACATGTGTATCAATTGATCGTGCTAAATTAAATGGTTTAACAATCCAATGATTATCTAAATTTCTACATGTCACAATAAGATTGAAAAACTTAAGTCTAAATAAAATTCAATGAAATATTTACTTTTTTTCTCGATTTTGATAATATGAAATAAATTTTGGTAATTCATATGTTAAATTAAATGTCGTTGGTAACCACAATGGATAGGATTGAAGTGTTTGATGATTAATTGCTGGTGATGTTCGACGACACATAACAGCTAATAGATCTTTTATATTGATTACATTTTCAAATGGAAATTGATTTATTAATTGTTGAGTATCTTCACATAATTTTCTAGGAAAAAAAAAGAATTTTTTAATCAAAATTAATTTTCATTTCTATTTACTTGAAATCTTTAAAATGTTTTCTTGTAAATATAATATCAGCATCAGATTGATTTTCAACTATTTGAAAACGTTTATCAAGTAAATGATTACGAATAAGTTCAACATCAGTAAAAACATTAATTATTCGATTAACTTTAGTTAAATCAATTATTGAATAATTATCCGATGATGGAAGACTTTCACTTTCTCGTCCAGTCTATATAAAATAAAAACCAAAGTTAATCATCATATAAATCAATTATCAACAAGAGAAAATTACATTAAAATATTGTTCATTTGGTTCAATTTGTTCATAATCAATATCTTCTGCTAGATCATCATCAGTCCAAGGAACAAGTTTAGCACGTCGAGTTAATTCATCACGTGTTCCACAAAGATAATCAACAGTAATTGATTCTAATATGAGTCAAATTTTAATCTAAGAGAATCTTTATTAATAACATACCATTACATTCAACATCTTCAATAAGCCATAATAATGTATACATTTGTCCATCAATCATTGAAAGAAAAGGTGCCATACGAACATTTGCTTGTTCCGAATGTCCAATAGCTGAACCAAATTCATCTCGAATATACCAATAAGGTTCACGATCTTCAGCATTACCACCATCAACAGCTAATGTATATGTATGATTAAATTTCCACATATTTTCAATAATAGCATCAATTTTATTTTCTTCATCAGATGATATCAACATTAATCGAGAAAGTCGTTCAACTAATTGAGGTAATTGTTCAAGTTCATTTCGAATATTATTTATTCGATATGTATATGCATGATCAATAAGAAAAATCCTTCAATAAGAAATAAATTTACAAAAAATAAATCGATTCAGATTTTCAACAAACATGGAAGGATCAGTTTTGAGTAGATTATGTTCACCGGTTACGCGAACTTTACGTTTTATAGTATCACCTTCATCATTTTCTACTTCAACTATACCAAAATATTCACCAGCATCAAAAATCTATTTGAAATAAATTCGAATTCTTATATTATAGAAATTTTCTAATAATAAAATTCACTTGATTTTGAAGTTTATGAAATAGTGTAGGATAGAAAATTTGTGGTACACCGGATAATTCAAGTTGTGAACGATGTAAATCAATAAAACTATTCAATAAAGCTTTATTAATTAATACGTCACCATGATCAACATGATTATATTCCATATCTATCTAAAAGAGTCATTGATTATTTCACATTCTTATTCTAAAGATTATTAGTTGTAATTCAAGTTTAACATTATTTTCAATATAGTCACTATCTTGTTTATTTATTTATTGCGTAAAATATTTAATATAGATATATAATTATCTTTGGTAATCATATTTTCTGGAAGAAGAAAAAAACCGAATTTAACATAAAAAAAAGGAAGTTATTTTTTTGGTACAAGAGCCACACTCATTAAAAATGCCAATGTAAAACCCATTCCATAATAGATATGTTGATCAATATATCTTCTTACATCATTCAAACACCATTGTAATTCTTGATTGACATCATCATCCGATGGTTCACGTAATTCTCTTTGTATATTTCGTTGTAAATTAGTTAATCTTGTTCTTACATTTGTTCGATTATTCGAACTGTCATGTGTTAAATGTGTTATATGTGATTTTAAATAATTAAAATGATATGCAAAATCAATTAAACCAATAGATGTAAATGTTATATAAGATAAAACATAATGACCTTTACGTATTAATATTCCAATAGCACTACCTGATAATAATCCTGAACATAATTGTTTCAAAATTATTTCATTTGAATATTGATATGACATTAAATTATCTAGAAATTCACAGTAGTTACATTCTTTGTGGTTTTCTCACCGTTAAGAAAATGTTAATATAACAACAGACAAAAATCTGATTACGAAAAGAGAGTGAAATAATCAAACATATTGTGACAAAAAAGATTTCGATTAGATGAAAAAAAAGAATTAGAAATAAATATCAAAAAAAAAATGTTATATTGTTGATGTTGTTGGTAGAACAGCACCATCCCAAACAGCTTTTTGTTCTTCTTTGTCACGTTTTTTTTGCTCTGAAAAAAACAAAAAAATATTCAATTTATTTGTTTTATTTGAAAATTACGTTTAGCTGTTTCAAGTTTTTGTCGTTCAGTTTTAGTTTTATCACTACTCATTGGATTTTTTAAACCCAATGCAGCACATATACGACGATTAGCTGCTAATGAAGATGTTTGTGGTCGAGCTTTATATGGTTGAAGAAATTCTATAAAGAAAATATATATTTTATAAATTCAAAAGAATAAAATAAATATACCAATTGAACTCTTCGCTTTTTTCTTCGATGCAGATGATGCTTGTGACATTGAACAGATTTTAAACATTGGATATTCCATTTGAAGAGCATCCAAAGCTTAAATTATTATACTAGAATTTATTTTTCATGTCAATATTTTATATTTACCCGTATTAGCATCTGGAAAAATAACAAGAGCATGAGTATCATCAACCCATTTTATATCGAAACTATTGCGACTATATTGATAAAACACAAAATAAGATAAGTATTTGTTTGAACAAAAAAATGTTATTTACGTGAGTGTTTTGAATGCATTTGAAAGATCTTCCGTACGAAAAGTTGATGGAAAATTTGATACTTCAATTACATGTGCTAAATCACCTTCTTTTATTTGTATATCATCAATTGACCATTGAGAATAATCATTTGTTGTTTTTTTTATTTGAACACTTTCTTTAAATTTTGTTTGAATCTTAAACAAAATAAGATTTTATTGAAATAAAAAGAAAAAAAGACAATATTATCAACATTACTTCTTCAAGAAGATGATTAGTTAAGGAATTGTCACTAGCATCTAATAGTTTTTCCCAATCTTCTTCTTCTTCTTCCTGTCCGTCATCGTTATCATCATTATTCTTTTCATTTGTTGATGTTGTACATGGAAGTGATTCTTTGTTCACTGGCTGACTCCGTCTGGATGGTGGAACATAAGGTTCAACAGACGGACGAGCAACT